TGCGCAAAATCGAAATAAGGGACATCATAACAAACATCGAAACAAGAGTATTAAAAACTGTATTATCCAATGTATCTAGTTTCGTTTGCTTATACGAAAATGTATATCAGAATACTGCTTTAACTACCACGAATAGCAATAACCCTGTAACTCAACGCCATCGAAATTCAACAGTGTAATACTAATTTATTAACATAAGCCTTCTAGTGTTACATCCCGATTATCATATAATTATCGCGGTTTATCATCCCTCTTGAATCAATCTAATTAACGAACACAGTAATTAAATACATGTAGCAATCAGTTCAATAAATGAATGTAATGACATATACATGTGAAAGTATTTTGTGTGCGAGGGTTGACACAAATTGAATCATTTCGAATGCAGCCTCGCATATTTTTTGCAACAGATGTGTACTCGTATCTGCGTTCAAAATAGTAAATACCTTTTTTATATGAATACAGTAGTAAAAATGTTCTCGCATATTATATCCCTTGTGGTACTTTGTGCTTCGGGACAAAAATGAACGGCCAATGATGGCATACTTCTCTACCAAAGTATTTAATTTACTATTGTGCAGGAGGACTGATACAAACAGCAATGGATACCTTTCAATGGATTTTACGTTTTTTTTATGCATACTGGACTTGTATTGTAATCGCGAGAAATTTCAAAAATGAGATATTATATTTTTTGGATGTTGTATGACAGGTACATAAAAAAAACATGGCACTCATTTCCGTCGGTCTGTCCGCTAATCCTTGGTCCGTCCATAACCAGAGTACCACTCGGGTTTTGATGAAGTTTTCACACAAGGACGACAAGTCTAGTTTTTGACAATAGATCCAGTGGTGGCGGAGAAAAAGGCCAAACTTTCCGAAAATTTTTAGCGGTAAAAACTTGGGGGTGGTGGTTGTAGGGGGTACACATATACTAAGTGACATATAAATCCGAACACCCAGTTTAAATGGTTTTATTTTAATAAAATTTTGTATAAGTACTTAATGAAGCATAATAAGTAAATGATTGCACTGCTTTGAAGCCCTTTGACCTTTAATAATGTGTGGATGCACCCTGATGTGCTACGCATTCTCCAACGCGCCTAGGCATGCTTCTGATCAGGTGGTCAATGTCCTCCTGTGGTATCTCATTCCAGGCAACCACCAACTCCTCACGAAGTGCTTCTAGAGTCTGAGGAGGACGTTGCAAATTGAGCAATCTCCTACCCATCATATCCCACACGTGCTCAATTGGGGATAAGTCGGGAGATCTTGGTGGCCATGAGTAACAATGTGACATCATTATGTTGAAAGAAGTCTATTGTGACTCTTGCAACATGTGGTCGGGCATTATCTTGTTGGAAAGTTGGATCTGCCAGGGTGTCAAGATAGGGTAAAAGATGGGGTTCTAGAACTTCGTGGATATAACGCTGCGCGTTCATGTTGCCCCTGAGGAAGATTAAAGGTGACCTGGAACCATAAGCTATAGCACCCCAAACCATAACTCCAACAGTGTGATGAACATGTCTTTCAACAAAAAACTGTGGATTCCTCCTTTCACCACGTCGCCTTCTAACCCTGGCACGACCATCGTGCATGCCTAAACAAAATCGAGACTCGTCACTAAAGACAATACTGTTCCATTCCTGATCCCAGAGTGACCGTTGTCTGCACCACTCAAGGCGATTACGTCGGTGTTCTGGAGTTAAAAGGAGGACCCAGTGTGACCGGTATGAAAACAAGCCAAAACTTCTCATTCGTCGGTAAACACTTCGCATGCCAGTAGGTCTTCCGTGTTCTGCAAACCATTCATTTGCAATGGACCTGGTAGTGGAGAAACGGTCCCTTAAGGCCAATAATCTTAGGCGGCGATCGTCACGGTCTGTTGTTCTACGGCGGCGTCCAGTGCCCCTTGCTCTTTGCGTACGGCCTTCTCGAAGCCATGCCTGACAACACCTAACCACAGTGTCTACACTTCTTTGCACTCTAACTGCAATTGCCCGAAAAGAAAGTCCAGCTTCCCGAAGTCCCACTATACGGCCCCTATCAAACTCACTAAGTTGACGAAATCGTACAGGTCTCCGTACTCTAGGCATCGTAACCGATCGTAAAGGATGTCAAGAACCAAAATCCGCCAACGTTGATTCTTTACTGCGGCTGAAATATTCATTTTTAGAGCGTTAGTGAATTAAAAAAAAGCAGTATAAAAACCGGAATGTCCAACTGATAAGGCTGAACATTTTTTCACTTGTTATTTACAGTAAGATAAATACATTCACCAACTTTTATTAAAATAAAACCATTTAAACTGGGTGTTCGGATTTATATGTCACTTAGTATACATACTAAAATGATGACGTAATCGTCATCTTTCGTGATTTCGACTATATCTGCCTAGCAACCCGAGTACTAAGTCACGGATGCCATCGGCGCACTCTTTCTAACACATATTGCACTCTTCTCGCGTTTTTCTCTCGTACACATTACGACGTCGGCTCAATTTTAATCTCACCGTATACAAAGTTAATTTGTCCATATTTTCGATGGAAGTGCAGATTCAATCTACTTGATGCCATTGTTTTCTCTTGAAACCGGTCCTTTCCAAAAATATAAAATAATTCACAAAAAATACGGCGTTGAGCAGCAAGGCTTCCGATATGTTGATGAAGGCTGAGATAGTCTGGAAGATGAGGACTGATACAACGCCCCGTATACTGCAGCAAAACGGATAGATCACTCTTAATTAGTACAGCTTCATGTTTGCTTTCATGTGTTACATGTCATGTGTTGTCGGATTGCAGGCGTAGGTTAGATCTTCAGTCAATATATCGATTTAATACCAAACACTAATAATCGAAAGTACTCTAATTAGTTGAACATACATTAATTTATTATGTTTTACTTCCTACGCCACTGGTTTGGAAGTATTGTAATAGCGAAAAGTTTAGAAAATGAGATATGTTTTTGGACGTTACATGATACATCACGAAAAACCACGTAACTCATTCTCATCTTTGGAAAAAAGCATTATACTTTTGAAAATCGATCCAGTGGTGGCGGAGCTAGGGGCTAAAGAAAATCGCTCAAACTTTTTTTTGACATTTGAGATGATCCTGATCACGTTTGAATTAGTTTTTAAGGGTAAAACATTGCAGGATGGAAGACTGTAGGGATTGGAGGAAGGTATATCTTGATTTGTCGCCTTCAGCCGCGGTAATTCTACACAGCTTTCAGACATATTTCACTCATCATAGATTTCCACGTGCATTCGTGTCAATCATACGCTCCACGGTCCTGCCGATGCTTGTGGGTAGCAGTCGGCCTCCGCTGCTCGACTGGATGTGGACCGTCGATCGTCACCCACGCCACATGTACATATATATATATATATACAGGGTGACTTTGAAGTTGAGTCATTAATTGTCAGATAATGATTGTAGAAGGAAGATAAACCAAAATATGTGTGTAAAAATAAAAAAAAATTAAAAAAAAATTTTACCTTGTTTTATAAAGTATCCTCCCGACAAGTATTTCAGTGCGGACCTGTATTTGATCGTGCGGTCTTGGAGCACCGGCATGCCCTCCCCTGTGAGGTTTTAAGTTACCTGATTCACGAGCCCTTTGTACTACATTAACAAAGGCACGAGGGGTTGGTTGCACTCGATTGGGAAACCGATCCGCATAAATCCGTGATGCCGCGTAAATAAGAATCATGTCCACAAGTTCAGCATTTTCGTAAACATGTGCCATTTTTGATTTCGCTTGAGCCACGCAACAAACACCACTATTCACTCACGCGTTACCGACTGACACTGACTGAATACAACTGAATAAAGTAATTGTAAAAACATCGTTCCAAATTCTTTCGCTTTTTTGTTTCCGATGCGATGAACCGATAAGGCGGATTATATCCGTTGTTGCCAAACACGAGCACATAATATTATTATTGGGACAGGGCGGTACTCAAACTTCCAAAGGGCTATAACTTTGTTACTTTAATTTTACCAGAAAAATGGTAAAGGAAAAAAACATTTCTTTTGATCAGATCACTGTTAAAATAAATGACTCAACTTCGAAGTCACCCTGTATATATATATATATATATGAGAAGTAGTCATTGCCAAAGCCAACGACTTGTTGGGTACAAAATACAATTACTTGTTAGTTGGGAAATTGGCAAAACTTTTGGGCTAAAGTTGACTCTTTTGACGATAAAATCAAGCTTTCGGCATTCTCTATGGAGCCATCATCAGGATTTCGTCGGTGAGGTTGCAGCCACGAGGTGTTTCAGAAAGAACGTAGAGAAGATCGAACTTGTGTTCAGTATAAAAACAAAAGGACGGGGACGTTGGGCTTATTAAAAAACGACAGGTACCTTCGTTAAAAGTTAAGAAAAATAAAAATTATATCAATAAACCCGAACAAGCTAAAAATATTGCACGTGGGGAGACATTTTGTTGTCATTTCTTCACTACGCCCATGGTTTGGTTATCATTTTGTTGTTGATAATAGCTATTGGAGCGTTTTTTTTTTGTGGCAAAAAAGTTATTTCTTAAAGAAAGATAAGGAAATATCTCGTACTTATGTTAAATACGAATTTAGTACATAGTTGTAACGCTTTATTACATAAATTAACCATGGTATATTCCACAGCAAAAAGAATGAAGGAAATTCTGTACAATTTAAATGCAAGAATTTCATAGATGCAATACACGTAAAGTTTAAATTATTTACAGGTCCCGAAAAGCCACCTTATGGACCCTTATCATTTCTTGCAATGAAAGCCTACCTTTATGTAACATCAAAATACTCGGTACTTCTAATCCAAAAATTTGCGCGCTTACAAAACCGTCTCGCTTATGGCGTGAGAAATAAAAAATAAACGTTCTTGTGGAATTGCATACATAATTTTTTAAATGGCGCAGAATTTTTGTCGGGCAGCTACCTATTAATGCACTATAATTGTTTTACAGACCGTAAAGATAAACACTGACTGAAATTAAATGTTCCAGTCATAGTCATAAAATATGTCTGAACATTTACTGATATCACGAAATTTCTATCCTAACAGTACATTGTTTAGCAAACGTTGGTATCCTTACTTTTACGAATCAATATCAATTCAACAAAGGCGAACAATATAGATTAGATAAAATATCTGATGCGGTGAAACTATTGATAAATCGAAGCAACATTGTGTATTTGTGTTTGAAATAGCAAAGTTATTTTTTAAAGTGTAAAATGGCGGACAACGATTATTTCCAAAACATGGACGGTAAGTGTAATATAACCTATATAGGATGTTTCCCAAACAGAGAGCAATAATTTAGGGAACATTCTTTGGACTCTGCGAATGCCTTTTCCTTTGGCGATTTTCGAGTGGCAGCTTGCTTTCAAAGGTACAAGGCGAGCAAAATTCACGGTTCTATTCCAAAAACAGTATGCCACATGTTGTGGTACAAATACACACTAGACAACATGTACCTGGAGCTCGTTAGAGTGGAAGCGTACCTTTACAAAAACTGTTCAAATTGACTGTCAACAGGTACAATGCAAATATACGGCATTCTTTTCATTGGCTGCCAAACTTATTGAAAAATATACGAGGGTCGTTTCTTATTGAGCAATCATTTGACTTTTAACTGCAACTGTATAAATTAATCTCTCAGGTTCAACCATAGAAAATAATAGCCTGGCGAGTTTAGGTCCGGAGATCAAGTAGGCCAGAAGTCCTTGACTCAACTACTTGAAAAGTCATTCTCCTTGTATAATTTTTAAGAAAAAAAAATAGATCATTGAAGATGGAAGACCAACACCTATTTTAGATAATTTTAAAAAGTAATAAAAAACGTAGTTTGATATTTTAAATTAAGTTGGTATATGGAAACTCTTGGTTATGTGATTGCAAAAAAACAGATTGTATTTTTGGCGATGTCATTAGTTTTATACAGAAATTTCTCCGTTACATGTGATATGTGTACCCAATTTAATTCAGTTTGGCAAAACAAGAATCGAAAGTTGTCTTAACCAAGCTTTTAGGCAGCACACTTCTAGATACCGTATGTTTTTTGGCAAAACAGGAATTGCCGTTCATTTTGAAGGGGATGACTCTGACAATAGAGGAAATTACAATTGTTAACACTCATTGCCAAAAAAGATCAAAGATTTTCCGAACATCTAGAAACGTTTTTTCGGACGGCTCGGATTAGTCATAGCATAAGACGATGAGGTATATCAAATGCCCCAGACGCTCAGTCCAGGAATGTTTACTTTAATTTAAAAATAGTTCAAATAAAATACCTAAGATAAGCAAAAACTTATATTTGGGAGGTTCAAAATAAACTTTTTTTAATAAGATTTTTCACATTTGGTTTTGTTAACAGTTTACTAAAAGTCACGCGTCGCCACTGAAATGTAACTTGTAAAAGCGTTCCTTTTCATTGTTTGAGGTACATGTCTCACAGAGTAATATAAACAATAATATTGTATTACATTGAAATAATCTTCCTGTATGGATTGTCAAGTTTCCAGAAACTTTTGAACGGTAAAGTAAACTGAAAAAATATCTACGCATATTTACTAAAACATTATTTTATAGAGACTAAATTTAGGGTTCAAGTGTAGGGTTTCTGATTCAATTTTTGTTTACAGCCTTTACCGATCTAGATTATCCAGCAGTAGTGATTCAACAACCAAGAACTAACGGTAAGCAGTCTTCACAGCCCATAGTTGACTAGAATACCGAAAAACTGGCAAAAAATACAATTTCTATACCTTATGTGCGATTTTTGGAGCAACGTGTTTTTTTGGGTTGCTGTTCTCAAGACTGAGGTTGGTTTGTCTTTATGATCACATTTGCAGATCATTTCAAGGACATATCAAGGACATTTTCATAAGAACCCGAGCAGTTGATACTAACCGCATGCCATTTAGATTTTTCTGGTAGCTAAATTCAGGGACATCATCAAAATATAGTATATACTCAATGACATTAGAAGTGTTACGCCCTGAAAAAAATAATTTCTTCAACTTGTTTCTTTGGCAACATAATGACTATACAGGGTGTTTCAGAACTATGGGATCTAACTTGTAGGGGTTATTCAGTGTAACAGTAGAAAAGATTTGAGTATAGGAACCCATATCCGGAAAAGTGTCACTACGGCACTACGGCCCTAAGACGCGTTAAAATTTAGAAATACGATGAATTTCCCAAATAGGATTTAATGCATTTAATTTTTGCCTTTTGTACAAGATATCATCACAACAATTGTTCAAGGTGTCTTCCTCCAACCTGAATAGACCGATTTAAACGTCGCACATGATTTCGGCGGACTTGACTAAAAATTTGATACTCGTTTTGAATGATTTCAAATGCAGCTGTGATTCGTCCAATTAAGTCTTGCTCTGTTTCTACTGGAGTTTCGTAAACCAAAGAAGAGGAACGGTGTATTCAGGTTGGAGGAAGACATTTTGAACAATTGTTGTGATGATATCATGTACAAAAGGCAAAAATTAAATTCATTAAATCCTATTCAGGCAATTCATCGTCTTTCTAAATTTTAACGCGTCTTAGGGCCGTAGTGCCATAGTGACATTTTTCTGGATATGGGTCCCTATACTCAAATGTTTTCTACTATTACACTGAACAACCCCTACAAGTTTGATCCCACAGTTCTGAAACACCCTGTATTTAAAGCAAGCTGTGGCAACAATGTCAACGTTTTACCTTTGTTTTTGTTTACCTTTGTTGAAATGTTAGCTCTTAGTTTCTACGAAGAAAGCAGTTTCTGAGAGCAGTACAGATATTTTTAGTTATTGCCCTTTCATTCACTAGTGTTAAGCATAACAAAATACCTTGACAAATTATCACAATGTTAGCGACTTTGACAGGAGTAGAATTATTGCGTGTCGAGATGTTGGTCTGTCCTATCGCGAAATTGGCCGCCGGCGCCGTGTGGCATTGCGCATGTGTCGTGTGGATAATAGAAGGTCAAGGAACACGAAGAAGGCCAACTGGTCCACCTAGGCGTATGACAGTGCGTCAAGATAGGCGCTTCAGACAACTTCAGGCAACGAGACCGTTTTGCTACGACGCGTCAAATCGCTGAATTAGAGAAGTTACCTCTATCGTCGCATGGAGCCTTTGGACTTTTTTAATCCGGTCCACAGTTAGTGCTTCCTCTGACTGCGGACCACTGTGGTCAACGTTTGAACTGGAGCATAGAACGGCAACATTGGGAGGCAGAATGGGGTAATGTCATCTTCAGCGACGTATCGCGATTCTGTCTACAGTATATTCAGATAAGAGATAGACCGGATGTAGGAAACGCTCTAAAAAAAGACACCTGAGTGCAGAAATGAAAGAGGTCATTTTGAATATATATAAGATCGAGCGCGAGGAGAACGAGGCATCAACCATCAAAGAAATTGTTGTGAAGGTTTCTCACAAAGTTGGGGTGTGTCGCGCATCAGTGTTTAATGTGTTAAGACAATACAAAAAAAATCACACCTTTTCTGAGCCAATGACCAGTAAACATTGCAAAAGTATTGTTAAATCATTGGATGAAGCTGATAAGCATGCGATTAGGAGGAAAGTGCATGAATTCTTCTTTAGGAATGAAATACCTACTATAGATAAAGTACTGCAGGAGGTAAATGGAGATACAACGTTGCCAAATTACAAACGATCAACTTTCCATGCGTTACTGAAGCATTTAAATTTCAAATGGAAAAAACGGGGTCGTAATAGTTTACTACTGGATAGAGAAGAAATTGTGCTATGGAGGAGGGATTATTTAACAAAAATTGGGAAATATAGAAATCAAAACAGGAAGATTTATTACCTTGATGAAACGTGGGTAAACGCAGGACACACTACAAGTAAAGTATGGGTTGATGATTCTGTAACTTCATCCAGGAGGGCCTTTCTAGATGGACTGTCCACCGGATTAAAAAATCCAGCAGGTAAATACGAGTAATAGACAACAATCGGATGTTTTTCAAACCTTGGGAACAAGGTTCTAAACATTAATTCCAGGGGGCAGATAAAACATATTACAAGTAACAAAACTTTTATAACTTTCGATAAAATGCGTGGATGTTTTATTGTCATTTTCATTTGTTAGAACTTTTTTAAGCCATGTTTTTATGTGTTTTCGATATTTCAATAATTTTTTAATATAATCTTAAAATATGTCGAATATTATAAACTTAAAAAAAGTTACTAAGTTTTATATTGTGTACCGTTCCTAATATTTCTAATCATTTTAATTCATACTTTAAGCTTTATAAAGTTTTAATTTGTTAATATTAATATTTGCGCGTATTTCAGGTTCCTGATCATTCATTTTTTAAAGGTTTATAACTTTAAATTAAATTGTGAAGCGCTGAGTAATCATACGACGTTCAATATTCTTTCTTTCAATATGACTAAATAATCCCAATTATAGCAATCTGATACTCATGTCTCAATGTTTTTTCGCTGAATATCATGAAAACATTTGAAAAAGGTTCGCTTATTGAAATAAATCTACACCAGTTAGTACTTCGATTTCCAGGTAAAGGGAAAAGGCTCATTATCTGCCATATTGGCAGTGAGGATGGATTTGTTGTTGACGGTCTGTGGTGCTTTGAGTCTAAGAAAACTGGAGATTACCACGAGGAAATGAATGGCGAATCGTTTGAACAGTGGTTTTCAAAAAATTTACCGAACTTAGAGGAAAACGCAGTAATTGTGTTGGATAATGCGCCTTATCATTCTCGAAGAATGGAGAAGGTCCCAACAACGGCTTTAAGGAAAGTTGATGTTCAAAATTGGCTCCGCTCGAAAAATATCAACTTTGAAGAAGCAATGCTGAAAGTACAATTATTAAGAATTGTCAAGGATCACAAGGCGGAATATCAAAAATACGCCATTGACGAAATGGCAGCAAGTCAAAATAAAACTGTGCTCCGTTTACCTCCATACCATTGCGAGCTCAATCCCATTGAGCTCATATGGGAAGAGGTTAAAAATTGTATAGCTAAGCACAATACAACTTTTAAATTTTGTGACCTCAAAGGACTTTTCAAAGAAGCACTAGAATTAATAACAGCGCAAAAATGGGAAAACTGTATTAAGCACGTGAAAGACAAAGTTGAAAAGAGAATGTGGGAACTGGACAATATTTTAGAGGAACAAGTCGAGCCATTCATTATTGACGTTGGTGCTTCAGGCAGTAGCGATGATGAAAGCTCATCAAGCTCATCTTTCCAATAAAAGATGTCGTTCATCAAATTCGGTAAGTTATAAGTAATTATAAAGCTACTGTATTTTTTACTTAATTATTGACATTTTTGAACCCATTTTGGCAAAACCTATTCAAGAATCTACTTTCTGACAATGTTCAACCATGCACATTTTTTTACGTTTTGAACGTTTTAATTTGGTTACATATTTACCTAGAAATCAAAAAATATACTAATCAATATTCTAAAAGCAATTTTAAGAGATATACGATTATTTTTAATTTAGGCTAATTTAAACGCCATTTTGAGATTATATTCGACTGTATTTCACCAAACATCAGGCGGCATCCGAAGCTGGAAATCGAAGCGAAAATTTTGAAACCCTTATGTATATTTACATCATTATATATTTCTTACCCCACCTCCACATGATCCTATATCCATCACCAATCGTATACACATCGAATTGTGCTAATTTACTACAAAGTTACGCAAAGCAGCATCTACTATCTAAAAAATGTACTGCGTGACTCTTAATACGTCCCTGCCGAATGTTACAGCGTTCGATGATCACGTGGTCTTGTTTATGTCCGGTCTATCTCTTATCTGAATATACTGTAGGTACGCACGATGGTCATGGAAGGGTAAGACATCGCCGAGGAGAACAGCGTGATATTGGATTTGCTATTGAGGGGCACGTACACAGGACTGTTGGATTAATGGTCTGGGGGCTATTGCGTATGGTAGCCGATCACCCCTTCTGTTTGTTCAAGGCAATATGACTGCTGCGCGTTATGTTGATGATGTCCTTTAAACCACTTTACTGCCGTATCTAGATGGCCGTCCACACGTCCGTTTTCAGCAAGACAACGTACGTCCTCATACTACTCCACGCACATCGGACTTTCTTCAAGGCATTCATATTTTGCCGTCGAAACCGGATTTAAATCCCATCGAACCTGTGTGGGACATGATGGGGAGGAGACTGTCCACTTGCACCATCCGCCACATTTGCCTGGAATGAGGTGTCACGACCAGATATCGATCATCTCATTTTGTCGATGCCTAGACGTATACAGGAGTGTATTCAGCAGAGGGGTCGCCCAACACGTTACTAATTTTGTTTCTTATTACTTGTCAATAAAATTTCGTGAGAATGTTATCGTTTCATTCTTGATGTAAGAACACATCATTGCCAAAAAATCAAGTTGAAGAAATTAGTTTTTCTGGGTGTAACACTTTTAATGGCACTTAGTTTATCTAGCATCCGAGAATAGACGCACTTCATACAGGTTTTCGCGGTCTTGAGTCCAAATCAGAGATCATTTCGTCTCTAGGAAGGCATTAGAAGGGTATCTTGATGCCACTCAAGCGACAAATTTGAAACAGTATACCACCTGTTATAATATAGGATGGTATATTTCTCAACAGTTTGCAAAAATTAGCATAGTCCATCACTAGATTTTATCTGGCATACTTCAAGGTTCACATGCATCATTTATTTCAATTGGGGTAAAGGTAAAAATAATAATCCGTTCAATTCACTGAGTACATAAAAACAACAATAATCACAAATTTACAGTTACATAAAGTTACATCAAATAAAGCAATAAAGGTTAGTGGTATCTTTATTATGGTTCATACACGAGTATTTAGATGCTCGAATATTTTCAACACGCAACACAACGGATGATACAGAAGCTCTCCAATTTTGCCTTAGAAAGTAGTGTTGAATGATGATGACACAAACCTCAAGCTTAATGACCTGCCATGGTAAAGATAGTGTAAGCAAAGTTCTGATTTCATGGCCAACATATTTTTCAAGGTGTTGACGTTAAAATAGGTAATAGTTTTCGTTAATTTTCAATACTTTGTTTTTTCAATATTTGCCAGTTTTTCGCATAGATACGAGTGTTGTCTCAAAAATAAGGTCGGGCCCTTCATCGCCTTCACTGCCAGGTGCGAAATGCGTGCGGTCATCCGATTTTTGCACTCAAAAATGTTACCACCCATAAAAATTCATCGCCACTTGAGTGCAGTACGAGGAGGTACTCAAAAATAACCGTAATAGCATTGCAGTGGGCGGAGCTTGTGTAGTACACATTTTAGCCCCTAGAGGCGCACAGTGCAACTCATTACCAGTTCAGTTTCACCTGAGTGGTCATTATTTTGGCTAGAGCTGTTTCGTTCTTGTTTCGTTTCTTAGTTGTGAAATTTTGCTTTCTAATTGGTAAAAATGCTGCTGAAACTGTTTCAATATAGCTTACAAAGATGATGCTATGGGAAAGAATCAGGTGTACAAGTGGTTTGCTCGATTTAAAAATGGCGACATATCGATTGATGACAAACCTCGCTCTAGATGTCCATCAACTGCCCGAATCGACGAAAATGTTGAAAAAAATCGGCATGGTTCCGCTGCCTGACGCAGCTTATTCGCCTGACCTGGCTCCATGCGACTTTTTCTTATTTCCACGGATAAAAAGGGGCATGAAAGGAGGCCGCTTTGACGACATTGAAGAGGTCAAGAAAAAAACGAGGGAGGAGCTGTCTGAAATTTCTAAGGGAGGCTTCAAGAAATGTTTCGAGCAGTGGAAGCACAGGTGGAGGTTTTTTGGGTACCCCCTCGTATATGGGGAAACGTGTATAAACATTCAAAATGTCCTCAAATGGTACTAAACTAAGGACTTAATCGAGCTTTGACATAGCGTTTCCAATATTGACGAAACACCTAGGCGGTCACCGGTTCAAGTCGGACGAGGAGTTGCCAAGTTTCTAAATAGGCTAAAAAAATGCGTAGAAAAAATGGGAACTATGGAGAGAAATAACTTAAAGATCAACGATTCGAATGGTGGATTCGTTTTTTCAAATAAAAAAATCTTTGTGCCGGAAAATATGTGGGGCCTTATTTTTTAAACAACCCTCGTAGACCACTATGCACCACAAAAGTTGGCGACGTTAAACTCTCGCTATTTTTTTTATTTATTAAGATAATCACGAGGGTTGAATGTTACCAACTCTTGAGGTACGAGACATGAAGCTAGTTTAGTTGAGTTTGTATTTCCAGATTTTCCTGGGCCTAGAAGACCAATTCCTGTGTCAACAATCGACCAAGAGTTCAATTCAACCTTCAACCCAATCAGTGGCTTAGAGTTCTTACTCGATGTAAATCAATTGATCATTCAACAAAGTGTTGAACTTACGGACTGTAAGTTTTCAGATTCATCAAAGTCAAAAGATAATAAAGTAACTCGTCGTACAGAATTTGAGTCGAATGAGGAAGTTATCTCCGCCACGGAGGACTACTTAGTAGACTTCCACTTTTCCACAATTTTCGTTTTAAATTTAAAATGACTAACCTCTGCTGCAAAAACTTGCCGCAGTATGAAGAACTGCTGCAGGCACTACCTTGATGGGATGTATGGCGAGCGATTGAGGGGTTGTAGTCGATATGCCGCTTCTTAAACAAAAACAAATGGGCTTGGGTAGCCGGTTGGTTAGCGCGTCGAGCTACTGTTCGGTCGATCCGAAGCTCGCGGGTTCGAATCTCCGCCTCGGAAATTGATTCCGAGCCATAGATGGTGTGCTGTTTGTTGTCTATATCACGCACCAGATCAATGTAACATCGGTTTGTGGGGTAGTTCCATGTTGATACTACGGGGTCGGCAAAAAGGGCCAGGTGACCTATACTATAACTATCTAAAACTGTAATAACTCATCGATGTTCACGTGAACATCACTTAACTACCAGTAGTCAGCTGTTCATAGGCGGGGTATGAATGTTTAACATGGGTGAACTAGATTTGTCACATGCTTAATAAAGAGTGGTTTGAAACATATTGTAAGTAAAAAATTTGGGAATTACCTTTATTCATCGTCGCTTCCACTTACATCTGACAGTAATAAACTGTCGCTATCGCTTTCCTCGTTGAAATTGACTATAACTGGCTCTATGATGGTGTCGATGTGGTGGTCAAGCTGCCACATTTTTGTTTCTTCCTTCACAACATGACGGATAGCATTCTGCCAAGCTTCGGGCGTTACTAGCTGTATGGAAGTCTCAAGTAAAACCTTAACGTCTGGTAATTTGCAGGTTGTGTTATGGCGCGCAATATAACCCTTCACTTGAGCCCAGATGAGCTTTATTGGGTTCAGTTCACAGTGGTAAAGCGGTAACCGCAGCACAGTGACACCACATTGACGGGCCATCTCATCAGTCACGTAACTAATGTTCGCAGGTTTGTGCTGTTTAATTTTTTCATACAATTTCGCTTTCACACATGAATCGTCAAACGGGATTCCTTTTTCGCGCAACCATTGCTGCATGTCACTTTTTCGAGATCCCATAGTCGGTACACGTTCGGCTCGACGACTATGGTAGGAAGCATTATCCATGACGATCACAGAGTTGGGCTCAACTCGCTGAAGCACCCCTTGAAACCAGCTCTCGAAGCAGCTGGCCTTCATTTCGTAATGGTAATCACCTCCTTTCTTAGAGACGAAAATCAAGTCACACTCTTCTAAAAAGCCACTATCGCTACCAATATGAGTTACGATCAATCTTTGACCTTTCCCTGACGGTCCACGAAGACCTGTTGACAAACCTTCAATGCTTGCTTGTCGGTTACCCACTACGTTTGTGTCTATCCAGGTTTTTTTAACTGTGTGACCTGCATTTACCCATGTCTCGTCCAAATAATAGATTTTTCTGCTTTGTCGCCTATATTCAATCATTTCGCGTAGGTATTTTCGACGCCAGGCGACTATTTCAGGTCTCTGTATCAATACTGGCTTCCGATTACGCGTTTCGTAACGAAAATTAATTTCGTGCAGGGATTTCCTCATTACCTCGACGCTCATTTGGGGTATAATTTCATTTTCCGTGATCGCTGCATGTACAGCCTTGCGGGTTGGTATCTCATTCCTAAAGAAGAATGGATGTACGGTTCGCCTTAACGCCATTTTGCTATCGTCATCCAATTTAACGGCCTTTCGTCCCTTCAAATTAAACTTTGGATCAGTAGTAGCCCCAGTTTTCTTCTTTTCATGCACCACCCTGCGAATGGTCCACTCTGGAACGCCTGTCATACTTTCACAACGCGCGAGTGCATCTCCCTGCGACATAGTTCTGTTCAGATAATTGAACACGTTGATCACGATTTCTTTCGCGTCCCTCGTCAGTGCTTTACGAAGCCGTCTACTTGTTTCCTGGCTTTCAGTACTTCCACTCGTGCCATTTGTACTCTCCATGGTTAAGTATAACCAAAACAGTAACCACAGAAACCACAACAATAACAATCACACAACAATTCTTATAAAAACACACAGTATGCGATCGCTCAACGAAACATGTTCCAATGCGTTGCCGACGCCTACGAGTCTGCCGGTCGAGGCGCGTCTTTGATTTCATTGCTCTACCGGCGGAGAACAATCAGCCATTATTTCCATCTCTGTCTGTGCTGTTGACCACCGCAAAGCCACAGAAACGACATATGTCGTACGCTATACGGCTGTACTGGAAGGAAGCCGGGATCGAGCTCTGATCACGTGTTGATCACGCGTATGAGTCATTACAGTTTTAAATAGTTGTAGTATAGTTGCCAAAGGCTTCGCTTCCCCACTACTTCTACTGGAGTAAGCAGACACTGGCTCAAAAGGGTTCCAGACCATAATAGTTATTTATTCAGAGAACTGACCGATTCCCAAAATTAACTGAGAAGAACTCATAGGTACCAGTATCACCTCTCCGCACACTACAATGGAGAGTTTTTTATAACACCTATTTTATTTTGTTTGGTGTCTATTTTCTGCCTTCACTGACTAAACCTATACCGTATTGAGTATTGCTCAAAAACATGAAACAGCGTTATACATGGACATTTATACAGGATATAAAGGATGTTGTATCTAAGATAAATGAGTTGGTATGTGCTTCCAGTAGAACAAGAAGTGCTACCACTTTTAAAATATTTAAGCTGAATTGTTCCCATCAGTTAAAATACCACCCCCAAATTTTCGCTGCAGTTCAACGTGGGACACCTTGTGTTTATAGGTACTTCTAATGTATTTTTTAATGTTTCTCTCTGTTCTAGAATACTGCAATTGTTTTTCGAATTTTCCTATATTTTTTACAGTGATGTCGGTATCATCAGAAAACAGGTACACAGTAAAAGTTCCTAGAGGTGATACTATATACTATGCAACAGAGACTTCCAGTGCTTTCCAAAGAACGTGCTTCGGCTCCGGAAGGCATTTCAGATTGAACCTATATGACAGGACCCAGCAACAATCCATACAGTTTGTGAGAAGATTGGCTTGTGGTACTTGCACATTTTGGTGCTATCTGCAGGTATATACATGATGATTGAAAACAGTACATGACTCGTTTGTGATCGTATTTGGATATACCTTATGCCTTCGATAGTGACAAGGGCGTACCCAGCTCAAAACGGAAGGGGGGCATCTCCAAAAAATGTTTGGTGGAACTTCCACAAATCATATCTATATAACTATGCTTGGTATTTTTATTTCTATTTGTATTTCATATATATAGCGTACACGACGATTTGTCAATTCACACGGATATAGAAAACTACTAGGATTACTTTTTTGAAACAGTCAAGCAAGCCAAATGTGAACCCTGTTGTAAAAGAAATTTTACAGGATTTATATATTATTCTTTAAAGTGAATGCAAAGGCTCCTCATCTTGACATAAAAAATTCTGGGTAACCTTTTTATCAAACTCTAATGTTAAAGTCTATAGAAGAATTGGGAAAAGGGTCAAAACACCTTCAAAATGGGTATGTCCAGTTGATAGGAGTAAATATAAAATTGTAGCCAAAAGTTAAGGCTCTTGTAGTCCTTAACATCGATAACAATCTTCAAAAATGCTAAAGCTATCGAACGACGTTACTGTTGCAACAAATTAGACATACAGGGTGAGCTTTTAGTATCTAATTGGACAATATCTCCATTACTATAAAACAAACATTTTCATTTACAAAAATTGTGGCCTATACGCATCCTATTCTGAATGTACTGCTCCCTACAGGGTGATTCATACCGACATGACAATAAAAACGATTTTTTTAAATGGAACCGTACATCTTATATACTAATATACCATTTCAAATGAGAAACTTTGGATATAGCCGGGGTATAGCATATTATACTAATTTGGAAACAACTTCTCGTTTTTATTATAATATTCTTGTATATTTATTCGTTGTTTTTCTACAATTACTTGAAATTTCGTCATATAGTCAAAAATAGTTTTATTGAATATGTAGAAGAATATGTACCTTGTTTCTCCTAAAATGATTTTAAAAACAAATTTGTCATGTTTTGATCATTGCGATCTCTGAAACAGTAAGAGATACAACACCCAGTTTAAATGGTTTTATTTTAATAAAATTTTGTATAAGTACTTAATGAAGCATAATAAGTAAATGATAAAAATTTCAAAATGATTGCACTGCTTTAAACCCTATTGACCTTTAATAATGTGTGGATGCACCCTGATGTGCTACGCATTCTCCAACGCGCCTAGGCATGCTTCTGATCAGGTGGTCAATGTCCTCCTGTGGTATCTCATTCCAGGCAACCACCAACTCATCTCGAAGTGCTTCTAGAGTCTGAGGAGGACGTTGCAAATTGAGCAATCTCCTACCCATCATATCCCACACGTGCTCAATTGGAGATAAGTCGGGAGATCTTGGTGGCTATGGTAACAATGTGACATCATTATGTTGAAAGAAGTCTATTGTGACTCTTGCAACATGTGGTCGGGCATTATCTTGTTGGAAAGTTGGATCTGCCAGGGTGTCAAGATAGGGTAAAATATGGGGTTCTAGAACTTCGTGGATATAACGCTTCGCGTTCATGTTACCTCTGATGAAGATTAAAGGTGACCTGGAACCATAAGCTATAGCACCCCAAACCATAACTCCAGCAGTGTGATGAACATGTCTTTCAACAAAAAACTGTGGATTCCTCCTTTCACCACGTCGCCTTCTAACCCTGGCACGACCATCGTGCATGCCTAAACAAAATCGAGACTCGTCGCTAAAGACAATACTGTTCCATTCCTGATCCCAGAGTGACCGTTGTCTGCACCACTCAAGGCGATTACGTCGATGTAAGGGTTAGAAGGTGACGTGGTGAAAGGAGGAATCCACAGTTTTTTGTTGAAAGACATGTTCATCACACTGTTGGAGTTATGGTTTGGGGTGCTATAGCTTATGGTTCCAGGTCACCTTTAATCTTCATCAGAGGTAACATGAACGCGCAGCGTTATATCCACGAAGTTCTAGAACCCCATCCTTTACCCTATCTTGACACCCTGGCAGATCCAACTTTCCAACAAGATAATGCCCGACCACATGTTGCAAGAGTCACAATAGACTTCTTTCAACATAATGATGTCACACTGTTACCATGGCCACCAAGATCTCCCGACTTATCCCCAATTGAGCACGTGTGGGATATGATGGGTAGGAGATTGCTCAATTTGCAACGTCCTCCTCAGACTCTAGAAGCACTTCGAGAGGAGTTGGTGGTTGCCTGGAATGAGATACCACAGGAAGACATTGACCACCTGATCAGAAGAATGCCTAGGCGCGTTGGAGAATGCGTAGCACATCAGGGTGCATCCACACATTATTAAAGGTCAAAGGGCTTTAAAGCAGTGCAATCATTTTGAAATTTTCATCATTTACTTATTATGCTTCATTAAGTACTTATACAAAATTTTATTAAAATAAAACCATTTAAACTGGGTGTTCGGATTTATATGTCACTTAGTATATGTAGTCGGAACTTCAAACTTCGTTTTTAAAAAACTTTATTTGGTTCCAACAACAGTGTACATGAACCGAACCGGAATTACAGTGTGTGTGTTCGCTGTGACTGAGAAAGAATGACTGACTCATAATTAAGATAAAATCGTTAATATAAACCAAAAGTGATGAGCTAGTAAAAAGGAATACAATACAATTATTATATCAGTTAATAAAGTGTTAAATGACACCAACATAACTCGGGTCAGTTAAATGATGGCATAGTTGCTTATTTATATATTTTAGAAAATGCATTTAAAAAATGTTGACGCTTTCAGTATTCCCAGAGAGACACGGAAAAGGTAACAAATTTCTCAAAATCATCTCTATTTTTTTCTAAATTTATCTGAGATAGGATTTCAAAATAAACCCAGCATAAGCGAACAGCTTTTAATTCTAATTTCAAATATTATAGCATGTCATACATTATTATAAAAAAAATTTCTTGAGTAAGCCTTGAAATTATCATATAGCCATTCGTTTCATAGAATATCAAAGATGATAAAATGTTACGCATTGCAAGTGCCTAACTTCATATAGTTGGTTTAATGTCATCGAATGAGGAACAACATGACGTATCTCAATTATATTATTTAAGGATAATCATCAAGACATCGACATTTAAAAAACTCAGACCTGAAACGTCAGATCGAAGTTCTAATTATGCCACCGTGTAGAAGAGAAAATAGGAAGACTTTCAATTATTTTCTGACGGCCCAGAAATATAGCCACTGCTTTTTAAATAACATTATTTTCAGAAAATGGAAGTATGGATTCCACCTGGAGACTACATAGGGACTATCAAGCAAGAAATCTCGTTCAATATGACACCCAATTTCGGTGTTTACAACAAAAATGATAATTTGTTGTATAGGATAAAAGGCCCACCAACTTTTGGATGTTTGTTGGGGAAAGCTCAGAACTTTCAGGTACGCTGCGTTATGAATGATTTATTTCTGTTATGTTTTGAAAAACTTTCAAATTAGACTATATGACTTCCGACACATAAGTGAGGAAGCATTGTGATCGGGAACATTTTTAATTTCCAGTATTTTTGCTATTTGAAAACGTCCCTCAAGAAAATCCATGATCACCTATTTAACAATTGGAGTATTTCCAAGTGTCGTGTACAACTAGTGATTATGCTGCGCTATTTTCAAAGCTGATATCCAGTGTAATTAGGAAGTTTCCTGTAGTCAAAAATACCGCTAAATCCTAATGAATGTTTGCGATATTTTTAAATTCGAGAAACGTGCAGACAATTTCATTTCATGAATGGTAGCCCGTTAGGCTCAAGAGGTCACTAGCAGTCGTGACGTCTGACGTCATAATTCCCATCACTGTGTCGCCACGGCTGGGCGACACATGTATGAAGTTTATGTACGTACTAGCAGCTTATACTTTGGTTACGATTAGCTTATGCCAAATATATTATCAGAAATAGAGGAGAATTTTTCCAATCATGATCAAATGATCTGCCGAAAGGGGCTATAATCATAATCATAAATAATCCGTTGTACGTATATCAGAACCGTCTGATATTTTGTCACCAATTTGGTGATAACAACAAATGTGAAAATACAATATTCGTGCGTCCAAAAAATTATCAGAGATAAAATGAGATACCATGATGTCATCTATGAGAATTTGTCACAGTTCTATAATACAATAATTGGATATCTGTTTTAAAAATATTAGTGTTTCATAGATGGGGGTATGGTTATGCTCATATAGCGCCTAACGTTTTCATTCTCATACATTACACCATGGTATCTTATTTCATCTCCGATCATTGTTGGATGGATTATTAGATTGGCTATCTTCAAGTATAATCCGTTAATCAATACAAAGATAGTATACTTTGATGAATAATACAACTGATCTTAATGGTTTTAACGTGTTTGAGTCTTCTGACAGTCAAATATTCTTCAAGCTATTGCCGGGAGTCACACCCACGAGACAAGGAACAGCTCTAAGAATGTCTATAGTTATTTCCAGATGTCGCACAGGGTATTCACTGAAATAGAAGTTTCAATTTCCTTATCCAGCTTATATAGTATGAAACAATAACGAAAAAATAGGTACTCATAGTTTAAGTACAGCCCTGTATCAACGCTCCTCGAAGCGCCAAACTGGAACTGACACTCTATATAAAATGATCCTACACACTAACATATTCATCTCACTTTAATAATGTTCTCACATTAAAAAATCATGAGAAAACCACGTACGTAGGATATTCCGCGAAATGAACACTGTACGAGAACCAAGAGGTACACACATTTAATATTTGTGTTACCATTGACATGTTTCGCGAAAAAGCCAGACAAAAGTGAAACCACGGTAAAAGCATTCGGCAGAATAAAAAGCAAAATAGTTTCAGCACAAAAATTCTCAGCAAGCAAGAAGGTGAAGCAGTTTTTCCTAGAAATGCGATCAACGGATGAGGAATTTAAAATAACAATGTTATTATGCGTACTACGAGAGTTAACACAGTACACACGCACTTTTGTTATCACTAACACCAATTTGGAAAACGTGAAATAACTTTCGTAACGGCATTTTTTGGATTCTTTCAAATTTTCAAGAAAATCAGACTCCGTGATCCTGAGCTTGGTGAAAGCCGCGTACAGACCGAAAATCCAAGGCCGAGCAAACGAATGCCAGCACATGTGACGGCGTTTGTTGTTGGAAGGTATTCGAATGCGCTCGTTTACACCTAAATTTAGTTTTGAGGAGTTGGATCGCGTCGGGTTAAGTTCGGTGCCAATGTCGACCGACGAGTCCCCTCTCATTGAATGCAGAGAAACGTTTAAATACTAGACACACCGATTCGAACACCTTCAAATCTGTAACCACATGTGCCTTGGTTTGCGTTGGAATCTCGATCTGTACGCGGCTTAACGTTCCGTCGTACAGGGTCGCACTCAGGAGACTTATATTAACCTAGGGCACCGATGTTTTGAGGAAGTTTATCATTGTTCAAAACATAGTTTTGAATGCTTTTTTCAATTTTGTGCATCTATCTATACAGGGTGTTTAAAAACGCAAAATGTAATTTTTCTCAAAAATGTATATTTGTACGTTTTTGAATCATCGTTTTTATAGGACAAACATTTTTGAGAAATTGCATTACTAAATTTTGCTGTTTCCCACAAGTTACGAATCAAAATAAAGGTTCCATATGGTTCGTAGAAGGGAGGATTTTTAGTGTATTGAAGTTAACTTCATATCCTTCTTTTTCACGAATCATCCGGTGTTTATTCATTTTGAATTGAAATTCAAACAGTATTCGAAAACAGGATTTCAATACAGTATTCGAATACCGGGATTTGAATACAAAGCTGGTATTCGAATATTGGGATTCAAAAACGATATTCGGAGTCTAGAATACCGAGCACTGTCCAAATAAGTATTCAGGAGAATACCAATTACCAAACACGCAAATGTATTCTGAATATGATTCAAAATACCAAGTATTCGAATATTACCCAAGTTTGCTGGAAATGCGCATAAGACTCTGAAACACCAAAAAACGAAGTTTGAGCGTGATATTTTTTTCGTGTTTTGCCCTTAGCTCCGCAGCCACTGGATCGATTTTAAGAACTAAAGCTTTTTCGTCTTGACATAGTAGTAACTTCATAGCAATATTTCACTAAAACCGGAACAGATCTTTCCGACTTATACAGGGTGTTTTCGAAGTTGAGTTGAGAGATTTTAACTGCTTGTAGGACTCGTCAAATGGAGTTGATATACCAAAAATCACCTATATAAAAGTTGCATTATAAAAGAAATAGTAAAAGACTGAAAATTTTTTTGATATTCTCGACCACTGCCGTGCAAAACTTAGCGTTTTTTGATTACTAAATTTGGCAAACTTTTTGTGTTACTGTATGGTTTTCAGAACAAGTCTCTGGTTCGATCAGCTGTGTCAGCCTTTTATTTTTCTGATTATTTCGTGCGAAAAAATGGCCCATTTTTACGAAAACACTGAACTAGTGGTCATAATACTAAGATACGCAGAGTGCCAAAAAAAAATCAGTCGCAGCAAGGGAAAGGTTTCGTTTAAGAAATCATCCGACGCCACGAATGTTTGTGAATTTAGTAGATAGACTTTGTGACAAGGCTATTTAAAAAACAGCGATGAGGTCAATGCACAACCTGAAATGTTACAAATTCAGGAAGAGATTTTAGAAATGGTCGAAGACGACCCAACAATGAGTACTAGAGGCGTAGCAGCTCAAGTTAATGTTTTTTATAGTAAAGTGTAGAAGACAATACCAGTACTATCGTTATCGTTATCAACGGGTACAAGCGTTACAACCTGAAGATCAACCAAGGGGAGTTGCATTTTGTCAATAGCTTTTAAAACAATTCGGCAGAACTGAGGATTTCTTGGCCTGCTCGCTTCCAGCATTTAACGCCTTGCAATTTTTTTCTGTGTGGCTATTTGAAAGAGTTGACGAATCATTATGGAGTAGTAATTACTCTGGAAAAACTTCAATGGAGCACTCAAAATGCTTGTGTGATTTAACTTTGGAAACACCCTGTATAGTAGCAAATGATTAGCGGACTGGCAATTGTAAACCTCCATCCTATGGCCTCCCAGAAATGCTTTGCAGATGGGTAGCTGACTTCCTCTCTGACCGAAAGATATCAGTTGTAATTAACAGTGTCTCCTGTCCATCCTACATTGTCAACGCAGGTGTTCTCCAGGGATCGGTTTTGGCTCCTTTTCCGTAGTATCATTTCGATCCACAGAATTCTACATGCACGAATTCAGAGTGCCAAGCTGATCAACAGGCTTTGCTCCTGAGAGAAATCCTGACCTGCCTGATTTCGGCCTCCCATCTTAACCGTGTCGAAATTCGTACACTCAGAACTGGCAGATTGTGCCCAAGGGTGTCAAGACTGTTAAGCAATCTGCCTGAGGAGGCTTTTCCCAGTTCTAATAACATTAAATAGTTCACAAATCGGATTGATTGATCTTTAAGTTCCTCATAGCAGTTGCGGTAAACCGGTATTTAGGCTTATGTAACATCCAAAAACACGTAATTTCATTTTAGAAATGTTCACGATTATGGTATTTCCTCATCGATTGGTGAGGGAAGTGTCGTCAGTTCATATATTCCAGAATGTTTGTCTTTGAGTTTTCAGATTTACACTCATGACGGATCAACTCAAATAGGAAGTATTACTCATCAATGGGACCAAGTAAAAGTGTCTTACAACACATTTCTCCAAATGCCCAGCAATATTCAAGATAATGAGATAAAGGCTTTGCTTATTGGGAGCGCTTTTCTTTTGGTGAGTTTTATGATGCCTGATATTTAACACTCGATGCAAAATATCCCAAATCGATGAACCGATTTGACGATTTTTTTTGTAATATAATTTTACAGGTTACCAAAACTCAATTCACTTGATTCTATCCCATATTTATCGAAGTATTCGCGTCTCTTCCAGATATCTTGGAAATTTGCTCATGTCCAACCCATCCCAAAAAAGGGATTTAAGACCGACCCTTCGATGTAAAAAAGGTATATTTGTGTATCCATTTTGAGCGATACACAAACGTACCAAATCGACCAAAAATGAGGACAAACTACTTTCATCGATAAAATGTTATTTTTTTACAGGAATACATGTTCTTCCTACCTTCCAATAAAAGACTCGCTTGCAGACCTTTGTGTTGAGTCAAGAAAAAGAAATAAGAAAGGGTAGGGGTTAAAAAATAGAATGATACTCCGATAAGTAATAAACATACATGTAAATAATATAACGATGCGGCAGCATAACTTCCTTTTTTCATAACTTAATAAAACCCATTGTATGAGGTGACGTCCCACATTCTCCATACACTGAGTAAACATGTAGGTACCAGTCCAAATTCACTGTCACTGCGACTTCATTTTCCTCAAAGAACCAGAGACCAATAATTCCAGCTGAGGAAATTGCACGTCACACTGTGACTTTAGGTGAGTGCAAAAACATTTGATGCAATTCTCCAGGATTGATATTAGCCCAGCAGCACATGTGTTGTTTGTTGACGGATTCACACAAATGAGAATGGGCATCATCATTAAAAAACAAAAACATCGAATCTTTCACTGCTTCAATGTTTTTAAGTGATCTTATGGTCCGTGGGACTCCAGTTGTTCGTCATGTCGCACTTGTAGTTTGTTTCATCGTAGTGACAAACGTAATAATTGATTTCCGGTCCAGGACAGGGGCCAACGGTGCAAAGCGCGCTGAGTTGCAATCACCGAATATTTGCTCCAAAAGTATAACCCTTAACGGCAAAAGCACGCACCTTACTGTACCAAGGCATGATGGCGACTGAACTGTGTCGGGGAGAAACTTTATAGTCCCGCCTCTTGGTCGACTGAATGGCGCGAATTTTAAAAAAAGGACGTTATGCTGCCGCACACTGCATAACCAACAAAAATGTAAAATAAGACGTACAAATAAAAGTAAGCAAAAACTATCTATGAATTTTGATTGACTTTTCTCGAGTGCTCCCATATGAAGAAACCGCTTCTAAACTGGTTCTAGCAGTTCTGGTTTTGGGAAAGAACTTAAAGTTTGTATTCGTAGCGCATGCACGTTTACAGAATAAACGGCGTCAACGAGGTGTTCATAGCAGGGGCGCTGCATTTTGTGGCTGTCATTTTGTGCCTTTTCACTTCTCAATCTTCTCATATATCAAACCTAAATCTTGACCGCTCTTTGTGACGTTTATTACACATATATAAAAATGGGCGACGGCAGATTGCTCTGGAACAGATTCAAGTGGGGATAAATATCTTGAGCTGATTATACAAGTTGGCAACGCGGCAGATTCCTGACCTTCTGCGTCACCGTTGCTAGTCAATGTGGTGATGACCTCCGCTCTTCAGTCGGCTTCTATCTCTTTCCAACATATGTGTTGATATACACTTCTCACGTTTCTCTCTCGCACACATTGAGCTCAAGCCTTCAGACAAATTTGGTTTTCCCTGTATGTTCCTTTCATTCCAAGTAAATTAATAGCTTAGTAGTGTTAACATAATTTTTTCCTCTGCTACTATAGCGGAGCGTCTCCGTTCAAGCAAATGAAATCGCTTTTCTCTGATTTTGTCCGTCAAAAAGTATTTTGATCACATTTTCTCACAGCGTTGAAGGCGCATGCGAGAAGGTTTTTTATTATATTCCTTTCCGAATGTCTGAATTTTCAATCGACTAGCTTAATCATAGAACACATGAGGCTCTATTCCCAAAAATGCACTAGCAGATATGCTGCCAAGCCGAAAAATCATTTTATTTATATTTTTGTCAAGCTGGACGTATAGGCAACCAGACTTACGCAACACTCTTATTTCCACGTCATCATCGATGCGCTTACAAATTTATTCTATCAAATTAATCAAAAAGATTCGAAAGTCATACATATTAGTGATTAAACTAGATTCGCCCAAGGGGGGTTATGACACCCATGGCCCCCTGGATGCGCGCTTGTGTGTGAACCTCCACACTTGCCCTCTTTTGGTTACAGAAGGAAGCAGAAAAAAAGTAACTTAAGACACCCTCTTTGACTGACTTGGAAATGCTCACCTCACTATAATCCTCAAGGTCGCCCTAGCTAATGGGAAGACTTACGGCGGCACGTCCCGTTTTTTAGAGTTTTGTCAACTACCTTTTCATTTGATAATTTCATGGTGTGTATAGAGATGACTATAAACAATGTTTTTGTGCATTTTTTTCTTCAATCAGAACTTGTTAACAGATACAAGTAGAGCTCTGAAATTCTGTGTGAATATTCCTCTTGTATGGAAGAATGAAAAAAGTGACTATTTTGTTCTTATCACTTTTCCTTTTCGAAAAATCTTGTTTTTCTTGAAGCCTCGTCTCGCAGTAAGTTGAGTTTTCAAGAAAAGCAAAGATTTATCGAAGAGAAAAAGTGGTAAAAATAAAAGTAATCACTTGTTTCATTCATCCATAAAAGTGGAATATTCACATACAATTTCAGAGCTGTACAAATATTTGTTAACAAGTTACGATCGAAGAAAAAATTCACAAAAAATGCAAAACAAAATAATAAACTATGTTTTTTAGTCATCTATATATACATTATGAAGTAACCAGATGAAAACAATTTAGAATACTGTTGCAAACAGGTAGTTATAAAAAAGCGAAAAAAAAATGGTCGTGTGGCCTTAAGGGGAGAAAATAAGTCATTTCATAGAATAATTAAATATCTGTATATTGTAATTGCTTGTACGACCACAACTACAAAATGAGTTTATTAAAAATTATGAGAGTTAAAATAATTTAATGTAAACAACAAAAATGTACAATAATATGTATAAAATATATAACTATTTGCATCCAAGTTACAAAAAATAAAACAAGGAACTTAGATTTATAACAACAAAATCCATTTTACTGACGAAAAGATTTTTTTTGAATGACATTATTTACATATATTAAATGTACAAGTTTTGAGACTTTTATCTGAACATTTTGCTTATACAATCACTAAACTTAAAACTAAAAAAGTTATTGTAGGGCAAGTATCTTTTTAACACAACAGTAGTCATTGGTGAAGTATTTGTTACAAAAGAGTGTTATTTTACAGTCACAAGTGTAATAAAATGTGATACTACCATGTTTTTTGTTTGTAAATGACAATTAGTTTGATTGTTAACTTATGCATGTTTGTACAAATTAATAATGATAATTTGGTACGATGACATCAAAAAATGATGTAATGCAGTTTAGCTCAAATACATTCCAATATACAGCCAAAAGGTTAGCGTTCGAAGCCTAACGTCTGTTAATGCCTTCGGCTTTGAAAATCAGGTAACGTTTGCTTTTGCGATAAAAATCTTTGCAAAAAGTTATCAAGTTGAAATACATTCAACAAGTCGGCATGACTCATTGAACGCCACTGTTAACGCAATGTGTCAACATACAAACATATCGCTTTAACAGTCGCGTACGATGTGCTACGGTTCAACACACTCCGAGAATAGTTATATATCTTTTGGAAACACCCTGTATATTGCACATCCTCCAACTCGCCTTGCAGGTACTTAGCAGCGTCATAATCGCTTGCCAATTATATTTTACTAATTCACAATAGAAAAAAAAATTCAAAAATGTAACGTACAAGTTTGATTCTAATTTGTTACCACACCTAATATGCTAAAAATTAGATCTAAAAAAATTCTAGTTTTTACGCATGTACTTTGAATTTATTTGGTCATTTGAGTGTACAATTTTTCCATTCAACAAAGTACCCAGTGAACATGATGACGCTAAAATGAGATCATTATTCGCTCTCTTTTAGTCGGAAACGTCATTGACTAAAAAATGACGTATATATTGACGCCATTTTTATGTCGACAGCAAGACGTCATTTTAACGTCTTTTTTAAGATAGTCAGTACTGAAAAACCAATGCTTTCCTACAAAGAAAATATAGACTTTTAATGAATGAACTAAACTAAACTAAATATCCAAATACTAATAACTACTTTATTGTTATTCATGAAAAGTATCAGGAATTTTTCGACCACAAATATCTTAATATGACTTTTCTAATAATAATTCAGATATATCAAATTGCCAACAAATTTATTAGAAGCTCCTCTGTATAACAATAAACAATCGTGGTAAAAATCCAAATTTTGGACTATATCACTTGGCACTGAGCTCAACCCATGCCCAAGCTCCATGCGTGTTCGCCGTGGCAATATTTCGGCCATTTTGACCGACATCACTATGGCTTCGTCGTCTTTAACGTGCATTGTGATACAATTTAGTAGGGACGATAGTGTTGCCACATAGTCAATAAGGCTTGGGTGATCCACGAAAAAAGATGTGTTTTGGCCTCCTTTGAAAAAGCAAAGCGATTTTGAAAAATTGCTACAAACAAATTCTGAACCATCGGAGGAACGCGTTTGACATCAAATGGTGTTTTTTAGTTGTTTATCAATCACTTCGATACACTATGTACAAATGCTCCTGAAAAATTGCAGAGGTGATAACGACGTCTAGTAACGAGAGGGTTCAAGAGTGGTAGGAAAGTAGAAATGAGATTCGGCGCCTTTCTACCACTCCTGAACTCACTGCTTGTCATTTTTGCGTGCGACTGTACGTCATATCGACTTTGTATTTGGTCTTTTATACGACATATTATGACGTCAATTGGGTGTGACATTAAACCGTCGTAATGACGTAATTTCTACGTCATTTTTGCTGGACGGCGTACGTCAGTAGTGTCCTAAAAATGCCGACATTATGCCGTTACTATGTTCACTAGGTATGCATTCCAATATTGTTTACAACCTTTTTGCTGCATAAAAACACGACATTTTCAGTGATAAATGTTTGTGCTAAATGATTGTGATATCTATCAACTTATGTAAAGGTTGAAGTGCTGCCACCATCGTACCAAAAATACGCACAATTGTGCTAAGCACTGTAAATATAAGGGTACGCTTTACAATACAATACACTATTATTTCTGGACAGAACAATTCAAATTGGACAAGTCAAAGGTCTAGTATTTTATTTTTTTGACTGAGACAGTCACTGGACGACTAAACCTTAATTCTGAGCAATAAATAAACCATAGACTAGATTATTGTGATTTTTCTCATATTTTTTAGAGAAAAGTGAATACTGAATCAAAATTCAAACACAGTTTGAATCAGCTAAGTTGTAGTTTCTGGAACCAAATTCCCTTCAATACAAATTTACTTGACCAGATTTTGTTTTTTAGGTACCTTTTCGGCAGACCTGAATTTTGATTCAGTATTCGCTTTGATCATTTTTTATAACTGGAATGTTAACAATGCTCGACTGAACTTGATGCAGCCAACTCCAAATTTTTGACACATCCGGAATGTATCAATCTATCCAACAGTCTTACGGACAATATTAAAAATTATTGCAACACCGCAAATCATTGAAATTCTAGATATGTATTTAAGTGTATTTTCGCGGATGAATATCTGCATACAGCTGTCAAGAAACCTATGTATATCTCAGATATTGAATATTTTAAATATGTTAGAAAAAGTTAGGCGTAGCGTGAAGCTACTTGGCATTATTTTTAAAGATCGCGATATATCGGAAAGCAAGCGAATATAGCCAACCTAAGAACACGGAGAAGCACTGCACTGTACTTTTTACCTTTGAATGAGGTCATGAGATATACAAAGTGTCTCTCAATGCGTGTCCTATACTTCACATAGAACTGGACCCTTATTAAGAAGCACCTTGTAGATAGCGCGTGACCCGAGAGTTTTGATTGTTCTGAACGCTCCATTTTGGAAGATATGTAGCAAGTAACTCTATTTTGACATAGTTTGAATCTATATGCAGATTTATCCGGTTGGCATTGATGAAACATTGAAAGAATATGGGTATACACACATACACACAGTTCATATGGTTAGTATAGTCTCAAGAATATGTTGTTACTCATTTAGTCTTATAACACTAAGTACAAGTAATACTCGTAAAATGGTGGATAGCAAGGCACCTATCTTATCAACCCTAGTAAAAAAACATCACGCCACGGACGACACTTATTGGCTGTATCAACTGCAGTATTGACAAATCAGATAGCAAATAAAAATTAAATCCTATTTACCTAATTTTGTATGCTTATATACTATTTTTTCTAACACACAGAATTAATTTGAATACTTGTTTTTAATCTACACATCGCTATTATAATAACTATCTATGTAATTCTGTTCAGTTTAACATCAGGCAAACGAAATTCATGCAGGCCAGAACTAAAGTGCTTCTACTGCTTATCACAGAAAAATAAAAATAAGCATAACATTTTCCGAAAATTCTAAACGGCTCTGATAACAGCAATCGGAATTCCCGGAAAATGCTACTATACTATCATAATGAATCTAAACAATATACATATATAGTGCTTCAATCTTTATTTGCTTCAACACCGATACACAAAGTTTCAATGGCATAGTTACAATTAATGGTGGATGAAAGTGTGGAAATGACAAATACTTTAACTTACATGAAACTATAGCACAGGTGTGCAGTTATATCAAAAAAAAAAATCATAACGAACTCACTACACAACAGGATAAGTTGTAGATGTTACATTAAACAATTCTTCACTATCATGCATTTGAAATACTACGGGAAGGTTTTGGAAATGAAGCCTTATAAAGGAAAACTGCCATCTTCAATTCAAAAACTATACAATGGTTTTCAAAAAGGTTCCCCACTTATCTCTTAAACTGGTCAAGTTAGCAAGTTGAAAATCGGAATGATAAAAATGATACGTGAGTACTGTATTTTAGCATGAAAGTGTCAGTTGAAAATTCCCAGATGGCATTTGGGTACCATCTTGGAACATTTGGAATGGAAACTTCGGTTAGAAATAATTCAGATACTAATAAAAAAAGTATTATCACAAAAGAACAAACTATTGAACGAATATTATCTCCAAAATCCCACACACCTGTTCAAGTTTGACACATATTCTTCTTCAAAAGCATAGCGCTCAATGATGTGAAAAAGTGTGCCTACGAGTTTGTCAAACAAATATAAATGCATAAAAATAGTGCAAGAGTGCAGTACACCTTTAAAATATACATTAGTATGGGTAGAAAAATAACGCTAAAATAAAATGCACCGTTGTTAGTCACTGATCAATTATTGTTTGCGAGTCATATCACAAAACACCAAAGACAAAAGACAAAACAGCTATAAAAATAACACAATCTTTTGCATAGATTTTTTCGTTGAAATACCACTTCTGGCAATAATTTTTCTCCCTGACCATTCATATCACTGGTATTTTGTGCATTTTCCTTAACGTCAATTACAATAACTCACAATTAGTTCAGCTTCCCAGAAATATTTTGATCACTGATATACTCAACAACAATTAAAATACGTTAAAGCATGAAGCATACGTAGGCCACAGAACCTTACTGTTACAAAAATAACAAAAAGCCCCCTCCGTACTTTAAATATCAATAAAAACAAAAAATGGTTGAAAACGTCACAATTAGATTTGTTGCTGAAAATCACGGGTGGTAACCCGGTACAAATTTGTTTAAACGAGTTATTTTAAAACAATTACAAAAAATGTTATTTTCCTCTTATGAACAAAAAAGGTCCATAGTAGCTTTTCTTTGTAGTTGACACTTTTCGAGTTATAAATGATTTAAAGTCTAAAAAATCTAAAAAAAAGCTAGGTTGAAAATCACAATTTTTGGGGTTGTCAAGTGTTGAAGTTAAAGTTTGATTATTTCCTTATAAGAGTATCTTGGCCCATATCATGTACCGCCTAGCTCTAAAAAAGACGTTGTGGTTCTGTGGCCTAACAGCATAAGCGTTATTGGAAAATTTTAAATAATAAATTAATAACATCAGAGGTTTCTAAAACACGATGCTCTACTAACGAATATGTGAAGAGCATCGATGAAGATTGGATATAGTAAAAATGTGGCTTCTAAAAATACAATGAGATATTGGGTAAAAAATTATTTTCGTTCAAAAAATATTTTCGTCTCATTGTAATTTTTAAAACATGAAGGCAATCTTGTGTGTGAAAGTGATGACATTGAGCCTACTTATGCTTACGTACTTGCGTTCAATAATAGTGCATCTGAAAGGGGTATACTACAAAGTATTAACAATATTGTAGTGAATTGTTCAATTTGTATGGAACAGTTAAACAATGTCAGAAAATTCCATTTAGAGACTTCGTACGAATAATTGGCGAGTCTGATAACAGAAAGCAGGCTAAAACGGTATCAGCCTACTGAATGAATAGTAGGACTAAAATCGTCAAAATAATGTTCATTGGAGTGATTTCTGCATGTCAAAAAACATGCTTATTGCCTCCTCAAAGGCAGATTGCTGAATCGTAAGTTCAATTAAAAAAAGTTTACTCAACCCACTTCATATGACCAAATAGACTCCCAGGCCTAAGTGAACCAAATACAAATATGTAGTATGAAGTTTTGTTCGCCAATGATTATACTCATAACAAGTCATAATGGAGCCTCCAGAAAATGTTTGATCAGGTAAGCTAAAATAGGGTTAGAACTGGGGATGCAAACGATACTGTGATATTTCAGACAGCGTCAATGCTTTTACTTGAGTAACTAGTATTGTAGGCATCGATCCTTTGTTAACCGGGTATCAATAGTACATAAATAGATTTTTCTTATTGGGGAACTGTAAAAGAAAAAGTGTATTTCAAGCCGATTCAAAATGTAGCTGAGCTACGGCAAAGACTATTGGAAGCAGCTGAGTTTGTTAATAACCGTGGATTCGCTCGTTTAATAACCCGATCTTTTTTAAGAAGATGTCAAGCGTGTATTGCGGCTGAAGGAAAACAGTTTAAAGCATTTGATGTAAAGGTAAATCATTATCAGCAGGATTTTGACGCCCACTGTTGTGCAAACAGTTATCCTTGTGTGTTTTCATAATCGCTGTTTAATTAGGAAATTTTGGAAAATTTTCATCAGTTTTTCTTCAAATAAAAATTGTGCATAAGTTAACGAGTAATCTTCTAAGTGTTATACCATTTTGGAATCTTTATTAAATGCGCCAACTTTTAAGGTTACTTGCCAAACTCTCGTAGTACATTTTTTTCCAGTACAGCCAGTTAAAGTTGAGCAAAGTTTTACTTTGGAATACTTGGTTGGGAAATAAGTGGCAATTTTTCCTGAACGAGAAAAGTTGGCAGTAAGGTTGAGTCACCAGTTTGAAGATGCATTATTCATCATTACATTGTAAAAATAAAATCCAAAAAAAGTTAATATTTGTAGTAACAGGAGTTGACAGACTGCCGTAGGGTGTGAAATTTCTATATTTTTTTCAAAAACCTATAATTTTCAAAACACATACATAAAATTTTTTTAAATATTTTTCTGATAGCTGTTATGACTTTGCCTATCACCCGGTTTCGGCTTGACGTCGACTTCTGGGACACCCTGTATATGACCAGGTATACTCAGTCATCAGTCAATTAATGATCAAATGAAAGCTCAAGCTACTACTGGAACTGAACCATAGTTTATAATTTTGGTCATCTGTAGAAACAGTTGACAGACAGCATTTGAAAAATATTATTTATAAAACAAATCACCGATACTTCTACATTCGGGTTATTAAGCAAGAATGCGTTTTCTGAAATTGTTGGTTTATCTTAGAAACAAAATTTTGAAGAATCTTCTATATGGAATGATACTTTATTATTTTTATTATTATAAGCATGGGCACAGTAACTATTTTTCTCTTATTCGTCGAGAGACCAGTCGGAGAAACTTCACTTTGCAGAGCTGTACAAAGTTGAGGGATTGCTGTACAATGTTCAGCAATGTAGATTTTGATAGCAAATAGAGTTGTGAGTCGCACAATAAAAAATATTGAAAAAGCCTGTGTGCAGTAATCCCCTGATAATACTTAGTGTCATATGCTGAGTGAATCGAGCATGCGACTATCACAAAATCGATCAAGTAAACTCTTATCATGTCATCCCTAAGCATCAAAACAAATCTTTCAAAGATCAAAATTGTAGTTATTATGTTCCATACAAATATCACAAGTCGTACGGTTGGGTTGCGTTCAGATTGCGCTCACCCTGTGACGGAATAAGGATAAGGGTTGAAAAGGGATAAAAAGTAAGCCATGTAAATGGACGGCTCGCATGCGCAAGTCGCACGCGGCAAAATCGCAATGAATAGGGTGGATTCGGTGAAAAAGGTTCACGTAATTTACTTCGCTTTCGAGCTGAAGCGAGTTCCCACGTTGTTCAGGCCGTTTCCTCGGGATCTAGAACGTGGCAACGCATCTGGAATGCAGAATTTTATTTTCAGTGCAAACATAAGTACTTGCGCCTAAAGTCAGTTCTTAAACCTTTTTTTAACGTCGAAGCAACCACGCAGGCAGAAGCCTGAATGCCAGGACACCGCGGCTGCTATGAGGGTAGTAGATAGGGTTTGTATGTTCTGGGACGCCCTTGAGCGCCGACCTTCGGTGCCAAACGACCTTGAAAGCTGACCTTCGGTGCCAACCTTAAAATTTGACCTTGAGTTTCCGAGTGACCTTGAACATATATGACCTCGAGCAATCACGACCTTGAGTGGGTGTGACCTTGCAGGAGTGAACGACCTTGAGATGTAGAAGGGCGCGCCGACCTTCGGTGCCAAACGACCTTGAGAGCTGACCGTCGGTGCCAACCTTGAAGTGTGACCTTGAGTTTCCGAGTGACCTTGAAGCGTGGCCTTGAGAAAGAAATTTTGTATATCCGATTTAACTGCTCTCCTCCATGATGTCGCCGCACGATGTGCCTGCCAGACATCCGCCTGACTTCGGCCTCCCATCCTAACCATGTCGAACTTGGTACACCCAGAATTGGCCGATACGACCGCTTCTTTGTCCCAATGGTATCGAGATTGTGGAACTATCCACCTGAGGAGGCTTCTCCCAGATCTACCAACCTCATGCAGTTAAAAACTGGATTAACGAAGTTTGTTGGAGTTTCTCATAGCAGCCGCAGCGCCCTGGTCTTCAGGATTCTGCCTACGCGTCTATTTCGGTATAAAAAAATAACGTGGCGGTTTGAATAAATGGGCTGTGTGGTACTTCCCATATGTTTACACATCTACAGCCATGGAAAAAATTATGGAAAGATTTTTATTGCAAACATATTTTCACATGTTTACTTTTTGTGCCATAGACATTCATACCTTATTTGCGCTTTTTTTGTTAATGTTGGACAAATGTATGGAAAGTTTTTTCATATCAGCATTCATATTTAACATCATTGGATTAGTTTTGTTGTATCACTGCTATAACCACCGTATTAAGAATGGGCAAGAAAAAGTATTTACCGGAAGAGTTGCGACTTAAAGTTGTCGAGTTGAAAAGAAATTCGTCAATATTTCAACACAGACATAACAGCCCGCACTGTGAGAAGACGTCTATGTGGAGTTGGGTTGTTTGCAAGAGTCAAAAAACCGTTACTGTCTAAAAAGAATCGAAAGATATCAGTTTGCTCAGAGACATTTAAATTGGACACCTAAAAACTGGAGTACGGTGCTTTGGAGTGACGGAAGCAAATTTAAAATATTTAGTCCTAATGGAAGATCGTTTGTAAGAAGACCTGTCGGGAAAATTTATATCAAGTATCAAAAGCCCACAGTAAAGCATGGTGGTGGCAGTATTATGATCTGGGGGTGTTTTTACAGGTCTGGAACGGGCCCGATACTGAAAATAACTGGGAACATGGATCGCTTTATGTACTGCGACATATTACAGAATACTATGTTTCCTTATGCCGAAGAAGAAATGCCGCTGTTGTGGAGATATCAAGAAGATAACGACCCGAAACATTCATCCCATTTAGTAAAAAATTGGTTTTTAGAGAATCGCTTTGATTTACATTTGTCCAAGGGTTTTCTTTATTCATCACATAGAGTTGGCTTTATTTTGTATTTCCATTTGTTTATAAAATGTTAGTAAGTTATTAGTGGATGTTTATTTTTTAATATGCAATTAATTATTAAGAAATATCAAGATTATAACCAGAAAACAAATTTTTCCATACTTTAGTCCATGACTGTATTTTCAGTCTTTTTGGTACTGATACGATTGGCGAAGTTTTAGCTGCAGATTTGGTACTCACCTTTACTTAAAGAACATTTATTACTGCTGGCAAGACTTTCGGCTCTATCTAATCTCATTGCTCTGCCTCTCCTATCCAAACTCAGCTTGTCAGCTCTCACAAACACACCATGTTTTGGCTTGCACGTGAAATATCTGGTACTCTTTACACTGCCGTCATTCTTGCCTGAAAAAGATGGCGTCAAGTTGATTGACTCTACACTTCCCAGTTCATAAAGGATGCTATTCAGCACAAGTCAGAAAAAAAATAGTTACGAACATGTATAACAGGGAAATTAAATGGATCAAGTCAGTCAAACAGGCGTCAGACACGGTAGTAAGGCCAGAACACTTACCAAGAAGAACCAGGGCCGCGCATCATACTAAGTTTTAGGGGCAAATGTACGGGGAAATCTATGATGTATGAAATATGTTTAACAAATGCGTAGAATTACCGAGGTTGGGAGTGTGTAATTAAATACACATCAAAAAAATCGAGATATACCCTCCCCCACCTGCGTATAACCCCCCGGCCCGCTACGACCCCCTATCCACCAGTTTTTCACCCCTGAAACGGAAGTTTTATCAATTTTTATTTTTTTCGTTTTTGGCCTTTTTCTCCGCCACCACTGGACCGGTTTTCAAAAACTACAAAGCTTTTTCGTAGTAGTAACATTGTGTAAAAATGTCATCAAAATCCAAGCAGTCCTTTCCACGTTATAGAGGGGCCAATGATTACCGGACCAACCGACAGACAGACCGAATTTTTTCGCAATGCCCAAAAGCGCCACAGTCATAGATACCTTTTGGTGCGTCTAGCTCAACTCCGATCCAGGTGCCGCTTGCAAAGTCCGTTTCTCCAATGTAGGCAACAACTCCAGAGGCATTGGATGGCCGAATGCGAACACTTTCACCCAAGGTGACCCAATCAGGGACCGGAACGTCATGAATTTTTGTGAGATCGGGGCGGGAACCAAAACTGTTGTCATGATCATCTAAAACAAAAAAATATATATTATTATTATATATTTCGAAAACTACGCATTCTAGAAAAAATGTTTCAGACAAAAGTTGTAAGGTTGCGATAGGGCAAAATCATGGTGACCTTGATAATGACCACGATTACATACATTCAAAACCATTTCGAAGTCAAGTAAATATTTTTAAATGGAACCCCACTTTTTCACATCGGGATTGAAGAGGAAATTTTACGTTCGGATATCACTTTGGTCATGCCTTTCAAGGACGTTTCAAGGTCAAATCAAGACGTCAAAAACAATTTGCTCTTCTTTGGAAATTACTTGACCTAAAACGTCATCGTCAAGATGATGACCTTTAGTTGATTCCCACGAACTTTACAAGTGTGCTTTCGGACATGTTTGCCGGAGCAAATTGTTTTCAACGTCTTGAATGCAAATGATGACCTTGAAATTACCTTGAAGGTCGCGGTCAAGGACATTCCCAAGGTCGCCACCATTTTGGCCCCTCGAAAATCTGCAAGTTTTGTTTAAAACCTTTTTCTAAGATGCGTAGTTTTCGAAATATACAGGCCGATTCACAATTCGTAACCAAAAATTATACATCATACACCGGACCGCATTTTAAACTATGTAAACTTTTTTCCTGGAAGGCTTCATGGAAAAGATACGGGGGTGTTGAAGTTTAGAAATAAAAAACATTTTTTTCTTTCTTTTTTATTATCCACATTCAAAAGTCTTTACTTCAAATTAACGTGCACCAGTGGCGGAGATACAGTGTATTAGAGGCATTATTTTTCCAAACAAAAATAGTACGGCACAATTTTCCGAATTTTACCTTCAATTTGGTACAAATAATTACTATTGTGTTTATGGTCACGACTTGTGAATCACCCTGAATAGGTAGGGAGTTTAAACTGGGATATCCAGTATATGTATATTGTGGTATGAATTCGCCGCCATGAAGAAACGTCACTAAGCTTTTACTTTAACATTTGAGGTTTAATATGGCGGTCAGCAGAACATGCAGATTCAAAGCATTTAATCATACCTTCCATGACATCCGAGGATCCGTCCAAGCTTTCATCATCATTCATCAAAGACAAATTGAGTAATTTGTTGCCAAGATTATTCGTAGACCTCGAGTCTGATTGCATCCTAGTCTGAGGAAAAGATGCTCTGTGGGTCCTTGCAGATTGTTTTTTCCTTCTCACTACTCGGCCAGGGGACAAATTTGTTTTGATAATGGAACCTGTGTCAATAAGGTCACTTTCCGTTTGATTTTGGTTTGTGTCACTGTCCAATCCGTTGGATGTCCCATCAGAATTTTCTTCGCTCAATGGTCGTTCTTCACAAGGCGGAAACCTCTGTAAATTTTTCTACATTGAAAAGACATTGCTTATACGAGGCCTGTAAATTAAGAGATGAGACTGGCAACGTATCGTTCGTTCTGGCAACACTGGAGGTGCCGCGCTTGAAAGGGAGGCAGGGAAACATGTGATCCGGCTTCAGTACAAGTTTGAACTCGCTCGAGTCATTTGGTTGCCCGTAGCGATTTTTTTGTGAAACAGTTTTCTCTAATGTGTTATAAAAATGAGAGACATCAATTTCAAGCAACGGTGCTTCAGTTTTGGGCACAATGTAACGGAAACTCTTGCTAAACTTCAGCAGGGCTACGGAGAGAGAGGTTTTTCGGTGGTTTAAGGCATTTTCAGAAAGCAGAGAGTCGAATGAAGATGAACCACTTAGTGGAAGGCCTTCATCTTCAAGAACCGATGAAAATATGGACAGAATCCGGGGTCTTGTACGTTCAGATCGTCGGTTGACAGTCAGAATGATTAGGGAAGAGTCAAATTTGGGTCACAACACTGTTCATCAGATCAAGAACAACTGAGTGTTACATCACGATAATGCTCCTTGTCACACAGCATTGCCAATAAACGAGTTTTCGGCCAGTAAAAACCTGTGGCTCCCCAGCCTCTTTATTCACCTGACTTGAGGCCTGGTAACTTTTCTATCTTCCAGAAGCTGAAAAATCACCCTCAAGGGAACTCATTTTGGGACAGTCGAAAACATTCAAAAGGCTGTAACCGACCAGCTGTAGGCTATTCCAGTATCGGAGTTCCAGCACCACTATGAGGAGTGGAAGCACCGACTTCAGCGCTGTGTGGCTTCAGAAGGAAGTTATTTATTATTATTTTGAGGGTAGCAATATAGAATTGTGATTATATTTGAATAAAAAAAAAAATAAAAAGAATCAGTCTCATCACGTAATTTACAGACCTGGTAATTCTCGTGTGACTTGTATTTGAAAGTTAGAAATTTTGCTTATATGAGCATATAGTTGGCTACAGCGCCATGTATGAGACACTAACATTTTCAAAGTAGATTTCTAATTACTGCGGAGTGGAGAAGCATAGTTATGTTAAATTCTCATAGATGACGCCAGTACAACTCATATTTCTTAGATAATTTTTTGGACGCCAAAATACAGTACTTGGTTGGCTATCTACAAGTTTGAGTTTTGATTTTCTGCAATCTCAAAAATATAATAAATAATGAAAACTAGGCTGTGACCTGCCAAGTCGCTGTTACTATGTCATGAAACACGTCCAAAAAAAAATTAGCTTTTCAACACAACTATAGCCCGGAGAATGCGTGAGCTCTCAGTCTATTATAAAATGGGAAAAAGAGCATTACCTCTCTGTTGATGCGTTCAACTTCAGCCATAATGTGGTGATCGCTAATTTTGTTATCAAACTCCAGTGTTTCATCCACACTGATACTCTTCAGTGAAACAGAGTCGTCGCTTGACAAATTTGTGGTAGATACAGCCTGAGAACCGTAACCACTAGAACTTGAAGAAGGGGTGTTAGGTTTTGGTGCAAACTCGGTCAAAGAATCCAGAGTTCTGGATATTGGTAGGGTTTTTCTTCCATACGTTTTCTTTCTCTGGATACTCTGAAAATAGTACATGTTAGATGGAAGCACCAGGTTACCATTCACACCGGCAACACCATTTATCCACTTATAAAGGGTGTTCCAATTTTCCGTAAACATAAAAGAACCTCGTATTTTTAGGCACAAAATAAGTCGATTGAACATGATTTACCTCTATGCAAAAGTGCTTCCTTTGTCCGCTAGACGGCGTCTAAGTTTCCTTTTTTAAACACATTTTTCATATAATTTTGTAAACGATGTGAATGAATTTTGGAACACTGACGTCCTCCAATGGCTAGACGAGTCACTTTGCATAGAGGTAAATCATGGCAAACCGTCTTATTTTGAGTAAAATGCGCGGTACTTCTATGTCCACGGAATATTGGTACACCCCGTATAAGTATTAAGAGAAATACTAGTGGTTATGAGAAAGGAGTAAATAATGCTCATTCCTTGGGTTAGAAAGAAATGAAGCTGTTTTCTTACATGCATATCCAATTTTTCGTTAGCATTTTCCTCAGTTTGTTCTTCGATAGCTTCGTCCATAAGTAAATCGAATGAATGCTTTCGAGGTAGAGGTTTTAATGGCTCTTCATGCAGAGTTGTCATACGTAGCCCCAGCTTTTGGCTAGCGGGTGATGAAACTCCAGAGAAAACTAGAAAATATTGCTTTTAAATACCTTCAAATATACGTCAGGCTAAAGAACAGGCAACATATAAGCTAAAACAAAATCGGAAGCCAAAATGGTACTTATTACATGCAGGAAAAATGATGATCGGAAAACTCAGTTTCGATTAAACTGGCCAAAAAAATGTGCAGATATGACACCAATGATCTTTCATGCCTCGATACACATGACACTTATGTCAACACTTTTTTGAAATCAATGAAGTCAAATAAAATTTCATGATACAGAGATTTCATCCACGTCTTTATTGAAACAAGATATACTTTGCTATATCTTGGTCCAGTGTAATTTCTCATTGTTAGATAATAATAATTGACACGTATATATTTTTTGTTTTGTGAGTTTAGTCACATAACGAGTTTTACATGAATATTATAACACATTGTTTCGTGCAGGACGTCACATGCTGTCAACAAATGTTTGATTCCTTTTTGGATTATTGGTTTATATAAGAAATTGTATCAATGTGATACACAGAATAAACTACAATGCTTCAAAAAATAAATAGAAAACGAGCTGCAAAGCAGCAAATGAACTAAAATTATCATAGTACAATAAAAAATTAAAATTGGCGTCAACAAATAAAATATATTTCCCATGCCAAAGAAAATGAAAATCTACATTTCTACAAAAATCCCTCTGAACAAAAAGGGCTACACATTCAAGTATTGCATATATAGGGTGTTTTCATAGCTTGTACTTTCAATGATCATCATTCATCACGTTTTGCTGAAAGCAATGTTATACGTTCAAATCGATGTACTCGTAAATATTATAGTGGAAGAAACATCCAAATTAGAAGATATGAGGGTTGATCACTGTATGCTGCACCCCTAACCTTGCAATAATTTATTTTTCTAGGTAATCCCTACCAACAGCAACAAACTTATTTAATCACTGCTCCAGCATGTCAATAGTTTTCCCATAAAAATATTGTGCAATTATTCACTAATTTTCTTGTAAATGCTCTTTAAATTTTGAAGATACTCTGAAATTACTGGGAGCCAGATTTGACGAATACGGAGCATAAAGATCCACTCGTCAATGTCAGTTGCTTACTGGTGAATAATCTTGAATGGTTCAAGAATGAAATAAAATACAACCGACAGCGCAGAACTTTCATGAAAACACCCAATATATCGGGAATTAACGTACGTTTTGTATTTGGCGGTTGTTGCAATCTCAGTGAGTTCAAGTTTATGTTCAGGTTTAAGAATGTGGGGCGTGCTGAAATATTAAAATGGCATCGTAAATTCACTTGGGAATTTTTCTCCTCTAGTAGAACATTCATTTTGTTCTACGTGACATACATACATTATTAAACAGTTTATATGATACATGTAGCAGTTTAAAGCCAAAGAGACATGGTTTTTATCTAACAGATATTACAGAACATGCAGTATGTATATAGTGGGTGAAAGAAATATTGGCATACCCCATATTTTTCTTGAATCTCAGTAATTAAAAAAGATCTGTTTGTTACTGCATTTGAAAACTAACATCCAATTAGTAATTTTTGATGGCAATAGATTGAGCAAATTAAAAATAATAAAGTAATATGAATTATGAAATTCAAGGACAAAAAAGTATTGGCACTCTGAAAAAAACAAACAAATAAGTATAACAAAATTTATTCACAGCTAGTACTTTGTTATCATACTACATATTTGCAACAATTATGGCCTGAAGCCATTGTGGCATAGAATTTTTGAGTTATTTTTGCCCACGTAAGAACGTCTGGTGGCTGTCGTTTCTCAGAAATTTAATTTTTTCGGGTCTTCAGGTCCAGCAAGTACCACAAATACTTAATGAGAATGATATTCAGGAATTGTGGGATTGTGGAGGAACATTGTGTTGGGAAGCGTTCCTTTGTTTTAATGGCGGTCTGCTTACGATCAGTATCCTGCTGAAAGATCGATGTTTACCGTATCCCCATTTTTGCAGCACTGCTGTTCGAAGTTATTGCGCAAAATATCCACATACTTGACAGAGCCAAAATCTTGAACTTACTTTAATAATTATAATACGTTGGCATATTGCGCAATAACTTAAACAGCAGTACTAAAAAAATGTGGATCTGGGTTACATTTATCTTTCAGCAGGATCAGGATAATAAGCACACTGTTACTAAAACAACGGAATGGTTACCTTACAATGTTCCTGCAGAACTCCACCGCAATCCCCGTATATTAATCGCATTGAACATTTGTGGTACTTGCTGGACCTGGAGAGCCAAAAAAGTAAAATTTCTGCCAAACAATAGCTATTTTATGCAGAAACGGGACCAAATTGGACGAGAAATAATCACAAGCCAAGATGGCTTCAGGCCATAATTGATGCAACGAGTATGATAACAAAGTACTGATTCTAAATAAATTTTGTTAACTTATTTAATTGCTTGTTTTTTAGTGCACCAATATATTTTTACCCTTGAATTTTATTTTCAATTTATTCAATCTATTGCCGCCAAAAATGACTATTTGGATGTTGCTTTTCAAATAAATTTAGTAACAAAAAGTTCATCTATATGTTAATGAGATTCAAAAACAAAATAGGGTGTGCCAATAATTTTTGACCCACTGTAAAGGGCGGCAAAAAAGTGAATGTTTATTTATCAGCGAATGTTTTAACACAACCTTCGGAATATTTGGGGTGTTTATCTGTAAAAATAGAGGAAAGTGACCCGAATCTGTACCCCTCAAGCGGACTCTCGTCTTCATTGATCTGCCTTCTCTGAAACTCCATTACTGCCAAGTGTAAATAGTAACTCAAACATCTACCACGCCGTAGTGATAGATGTCAGGGGTAGGTGAGAATTTACAATTTTCAAACTAAATGAAGCATTTTTACAACATACTTTCTGCGATTTTTCGTTTCCTTTTTTTTTTTTAACTCAATACTCTCCTCTAATATTACAAATTGTAATTATACAAGTTATATCCACTATCCAAACTTCTCACAACATAGCTACTGCAACACGAATGACAATTAATATATGATTTCTAGTGTTTTCAGTATCTTGGATCAAAATAGCCATCCTTGAAGTACAATAAATCTTCTCACAACATTTAATATACAACTTTCCTGTCACTTCCAACTTTCAAGACTGTCAAGGCAAGTGAAGCGTCATCAGAATAAGAGCTACCCCTCTCCGGGACGCTTTGACGTCCAGAATTCGCCAAAATCGGTTCAACAAGTTAGCTTGGCGACGTCGCCACTGCGTCCCGGTGAAGACGCCTCATTTTGAAGGGTGACTATGCACTAGAGATGCCACAAATATTCGGTTACGATTCAGTATTGAGCCAATTTCTAAATATATTGTATTCGGCCGAACACCGAATACTAATTCATAAAAAAGCCATACATACGAGATCTGTAAATTAAGTGATGAGACTGGCAACGTAGCGTTAGATCTGGCAACGTAGCGTTCGATCTGGCAACACTGGAGGCGCCGGGCTTGGAGGGCAGAAAGGGGACAGTCATCTGATCCGCTTTCAGTACCAGTTTGAACCCGCTCAAGTCATTTGATGGTCCGTGTGGATTTTTTTTTGTGAAACAGTTTTTCGTATTGTGTTCTGAAAATGAGTGCTCAATTTCAAGCAACAGTGTGCTATCAGGTTTTGCTCCAGACTTGGGGCAGTGCAACGGAAACGCTTGCTAAGCAGGACTATGAAGATAGTGTTTTGTCAAGAGCCCAGGTTTTTCGGTGGTTTAAGGCATTTTCAGAATGGAGAAAATCGATTGAAGATGAACCACGAAGCGGAAGGCCTTCATCAAAATATAGACAGAATCCAGGAACTTGTGCGTTCAGATCGTCGATTGCCAGTCAGAATGATTGGGGAAGAGTTAAACTTGACTCAACCGTTAGTCAGATCAAGAACAACTGGGGGGTGCATCATGATAATGCTCTTTGTCACACAGCAATGTCAACAGAGGAGTTTTTGGCCAGTAAAAACATTCCTGTGACTCATCAGACTCCTTATTCGTCTGACTTAAGCCCTTGTGACTTTTCCCCCGAAGTTTAAAAATCACCTCAAGGGAACTTATTTTGGACAGTTGAAAATTAAAAAAAAAATCAGTCTCATCACTTAATTGACAGACCTTGTTTTACTCAAAAATTAATATACTTCACGAACAAACATTTCAATTAATATTTAAAATTTATCAGTGTAAGTTGCTATGAATGAAACTAATATTTGTTCAATATTTGCTGATAGCAACTGATTCCGCTTTTCTTCAAAAAATATGCCAGCTTCTTAAAAGAGCCTCTCACTGTATTGTGTACACTTTCGAGCGATAATAGACCATTTTTTCCAAGTTTTGTCAATTTTCTACAGCGACTTCCTCAAAACAACTCCGGAAATTCTTATTGTCATTTCTTAGTGTACTGCGCTGCAATGAGACAGGTTGAAACCCGTCATCCGAGAAATGAGTAACTACACTGTATTCAAAGCTTATTTACGGACCGTAAAAGAAATACCAACACGTGATGTTCAAATTCGCGCGCTGCCATTGGCCATAAATGCCTGGGCAGGCAGTGACAGGCGAAAAGAAGCAGTGATGAAGTGACTATGTTTCGAATTGACTCAACAAATGAAAATCGGTGAAGATCGGAAAAGTCATTATTCGTGGCATCTCTGATACGCGCGTGGCCCTAAAATAAATGAATAGTACGAAACTTGTGAATAAATATTCCTTTTTCGAACCACCCTGTCTGTATAGCCAATTAGGTACATTTCTAAAACAAAAATACCGTCTATCTAACATTCTTATTGTACATTTTATATATTCCGCACATGTACAAAGCTGTGCCTATAAATCTTTTGTGTGGAAGGAAATAAAAATCTGTTTTTAGCCTGTTTTAAATTTTCAATTCAAAAATTTACATGCGCTCGGTTTAACTGTCAAGTACTTTCAATATGAATAATTGTGAAGGATTCAAATAGTTCACTTCATCAAAGTGTTTCATAAAAAATACTAAGCAGCATTCTCGTTCCGTTAATTGTAAATGCGAATGGTAAATTAATTCGTTTTAAGAATTTCTGGAGCAACCTGGCCTTAATATTTTAATGTTCTTAAAACGGCTAATAGCTAAAATTGCATGTGACCACTGCTGCTCCTATATACTTAAGGTGGCACGGCATTTCCCTTTTTTTAGATTTTCTTTCAACTTTCTAAATTTTTTTTCGCCTGATAATTTCATGGTGTGTATAGAGATGACTAAAAAACAATGTTTTCATTTCTTTTTGTCAAAAGATGCATTTTTTGTGCATTTTATTGTGCATTTAACCTTCAATCGGAACTTTTTAACAAATACAGGGTGGTCCATAAGTCCTTTGAAATTTCAAATTTGAATAAAATTTAACGGGGGAGCGTGAGCGGCGCGGGCGAGGTGGGGGCAGTATCTTCAGTGTCTGGGAATTCAGTCGCCATGGAGTGTTTCACTGGAGCGGATTGTGCTTCTTGTGTGCGCGCGTTTTATCAAAATAATGATTCGGCAACCATTGCGCGGCGTAAACATCGAGAATACCACAATTTACACAATTTTACAAAGTGTCCAACAGCTCAAACGATTAAGAACTGGGTTGCTAAGTTCGAAGAGACTGGTTCGACGTTAGATAAACAGTGGTGGGGTCGACCAAGGACAACTCGTATTGAAGAAAACATCAATATTGTGGCACAGTCTGTTCGTCAAAATCCTACCCAGTCTACTCGTAAGCGTTCCAGTGCACTAAACGTACCCAGAACATCGTTACAGCGGATTTTAAGGAAAGATTTACGTCTGCGCGCTTACAAAATTCAGTTAGTGCAGGAATTAAAAGATAATGACGCTATTCAGAGACTAAACTTTGCGAATGAAATGTTGAGTCGATTTTCTTCGCTCAATAATGTGTTGTTCTCGGACGAGGCTCACTTCCATTTAAACGGGCATGTAAATAAACAAAATTGCCGTTATTGGAGCCCCGAAAATCCAAGGCGTAAGCATCAGAAGCCCTTACACAGCCCTAAAGTTACAGTTTGGGCAGCTATGTCAGCGCATGGCATCGTAGGCCCTTATTTTTTTGAGGACGACAGAGGTCGCGCATTAACTGCTACTTCGGAGCGGTATGTAGCAATGATAGAAGAGTTTTTGACACCAGCGTTGCAGAATTTTCCAGGCTATAATACGCAGACCTGGTTTCAACAGGACGGAGCAACTGCCCACACCTCCAACACTTCTATGCCCG